CTATTTTAAACTGATAGTCCCTTAAGTTTGAATCCATTATAAAACCATTACATTTTTACCCCTACCACGTTTATGTTTTCGACATCATATTTTATACCTTGTGTGTGTGTGTGTTTACCCCTTAATTCACTAGTGTTGAATACATGTGTTACTACTTTTGTCTTTTAACGTTCATACAAGCTTTATAATTGGTTGACCCACTACATTTATTTACTAAATGTTTGTCTTTATCAGTGATATATTTTCTTTCCTATATTTTCTTTTTTGTTTTTGTTTTTTCTTTTCCACTTAAAGAAGTCCCTTTAACATTTTTTATAAAGCTGGTTTAGTGATGATGAACTTGAGCTTTTGCTTATCTGGGAAACGCCTTTATTCTGAATGATAATCTTGCTGCGTAGAATATTATTGATTGTAGATTTCTCCTTTCATCACTTTGAATATATCATTTCATTCTCTTTTGGCTTGCAAAATTTCTGCTGAAAAATCAGTCAGTAGTCTTAAGGGGGTTCACTTGTAGGTAACTAGCTGCTTTTTCTTGTCAATTTTAAGATTCTCTTTTTATTTTTAACTTTTTGCATTTTAATTATGATGTGTCATGGTGTGGGCCACTTTGGGATCATCTTGTTAGGGATTCTTTGTGCTTCCTGGACTTGGATGTCTGTTTTCTTCATCAGGTTGGGGAAGCTTTGCACAACAAGTGAAAGAGACCACTTTTTTTCTGTCTTCTCCCTCTGGAACTCCGCTATGATGCAAATGTTGGTATGCTTGATGTTGTTCCAGAGGCCCCTTAAACTATCCTTATTTTTTTTAAATCTTTTTTTTCTTTTTACTCTCTGCTAGTGTGATTTCCAATGCCTTCTCTACCAGCTTGCTGACTCATTTTTCTGCATCAACTAATCTGCTGCTGATTCCCTGTAGTGTATTTTTCATTTCAGTTGTTGTGTTCTTCATTTTTTTTTGGTTCTTTTTAATATTTTTTATCTCGTTTTTGAAGATCCCACTGAGTTCATCTTTCTTTTCCTGAGCTCATTGAGCATCCTGTAACCAGTGTTTTGGACTCTTTTCTGGTAGATTGCTTACCTGTGTTTCACTTATTTCTTTTTCTGGGGTTCTGTCCTGCTCTTTCATTTGGAACATATTTCTTTGTTTCCTCATTTTTGCTGTCTCTCTGTGTTTATTTCTATGACTTTGGTGAAACAGCAACCTCTTCCCATCTTGAAGGAGTGGCCTGTGTAGGAACTTCCCCTCTGTAGACTGTGTCTGGTTTCTTTGGTAGGCCAGCTGGAGCTGGAGTAAGGCATAGGCTGCAGGGAGTTGGGGGGCCAGGTCCCACCCAGAGGCCCCCTTTGGCAAGCTGATTAGAGCTGTAGATGGAGTGGGCTCAGGCACGGGGTGTCCCAGGAGCAAGCCACACCTGGGCCCAGAGCTATAGCTAGGGTGGTGGCAAATTGTGGGGAGTTGGGAGACAAGCCACAGTGAGAGGCCATTGGGAGTTGTAGTTAGAATGGGCTCAGGCCAAGGGTAGCCTTGGGAGCAAGCCACGTTGTGGCCTAGAGCTGTAGCTGAAGTGGGTGTGGTCTGCAGGAAGTCCCAGGGTAAGCTGCATAGGCTAGAGCAGTAGTTGGAGTGGGCGCAAAGCCGAGGGAACTCCAGGGTGCAAGCCTCAGAGCTGGTGTGGACTCGGGGCCTGGTGTTTACCGTGATGGTCTTGATGGGCTGATTAGTATGTCTGGATCATGCTCTTGCCCATGCAGCCAACGGGGAGAGGGAGGGCCATAAATGGCGCTGTCCGGTTCCTCTGACAGCAAGAGAGTTCCTACAGTTACCCTCCTGTTTGTCAGAGACTGTAGGATTAGTACATGGATTTCCTTCTCATATAGTCTAGATGGCTTTTAAACCAGTTTTTCTGCTGTACCCAGGGCTGGTGAGTATCCTGTAACCAGTGTTTTGGACTTCCAGTGATCCCTTCCTATTGGAGGTTGTTGGTGCTTGGAGGGTGGGGTACCCTGTCTCTATGTCTCCTCCCCATCTCTATGTAGTCTCTCTTGTTTGTTGTGCAGAAGCTGTTCAGTCAGTCCTTAGTTCTTCAGGGGGAATTGCTCTGTGTATAGGTGTAAATTTGATGTGTTTCTGGGAGGAGGTGAGTTCAGGGTCTTCCTGTGCCGCCATCTTGGACCAGAAGCCTGAACTTCTGACTTTAAATTGCTATAAATTAGTGTTCTAAATATACTCAGAGACCCATTTATTGAGAATTTTCTACATCTTCACATAGAACAGTTTTTAAATAGGGCTGATAATTTGGAATATATTCTGTCTATCCAAGGAATTTTATTTGATGTGCATGCTGAGAGTAAATCCTACTTAAATTTTCATTGATGCCAATTTAAGTTACTTTCTTTTTTATTTTTTAAAGATTTTATTGGGGAATTGGAGGAAGGGAACAGTGTTGGGGAAGGGGAATAGCCAAGTTGTTGTCCTCCAGTCTTAGTTGTGAAGGGCACAGCAAGCTCAGCTTCCAGTCCAGTTGCACCGCTCAGCTTAAGGTGCTGTGTTCAATTAGTTGTGGGTGAGCGTAGCCACCATCCCATAAGGGAGTCGAACCAGCAGCCTTGTTGTTAAGAAGGCAGGCTCTATCCACTGAGATATCTGGGCGGCAGCTTAGCTCAAGGCGCTGAGTTCAGTTTTTGTTGCAGATGGGTGTAGCCACCATCCCATGCCGGAGTGGAACCAGCAGCCTTGTTGTTAAGAGAACATGCTCTATCCCCTGAGCCACCTGGGCGGCAGCTCAGCTCAAGGTGCCAAGTTCAGTCTTTAGTTTTGGGCGGGCGTAGCCCACCATCTCAAACAGGCAGCCTTGTTGTTAGGAGTATGTGCTCTCACTAGCTGAGCCATCCTGCCACCCATTGAAAGCTCAGCGGCAGCTTAGCTCTGGTGCAGCTCACTGGCCCATGTGGGAATTGAACCGGCAACCCTGTTCATCAGAGCTCGCACTCTTGAGCAAGCCCTTAACCAACTGAGCCATTCGGCTGGCCCCAAGTTATTTTCATTTTAACTCAACTAGTTTCTATGCTCAGTCTATCCAAATGGTTAGTATTAGTATAAGAGAGGATGAAAGATCAATATTTCTGCTGAAGTCAAGGTTAAATGTAGTCTAGGTCATACAGAAATACATAGTTTTATAAACTTTCTTTTCAGAGAGATGTGCTATGTGAGTAGAAAAGCATCTTTCCCTGGGTTTGCTGTAAACTTGCCTTGTACTCCATTGATATATATAAAAGACATATATACATGATACATATAAAAGAAAATGCTATACAACAATAATATAAATGTAAATAGGAAGTTTTTTCGAAGACATTTATTAAGTTACAACTATAATTGAGGCACAGAGTCAGGATCTGGGTGGTCGTGATGGTGGCTCAGACTTAAGGTATGCTTTGGAGGCTGAATTTATAAGACTTGGTGATNAAAAAAAAATAATGATGTATTTTTTTTTTAGCAATCATCTAATAAAGAACAATATTATAGACTTCTTAGAGTTCGGAGTACTGTACACTTAATTATCTCACGTTGATGAAATGCCTAGCAGATTGTTGACAAAGTCAGGAAATAAACCTTGTTTTTATTTTTTGAGGAGTTTTAACAGGTGATAAATTCTTTGAAATAATTAATATTATGACTTTTTTTAGTAAAGGCTTTGGGGAAAAATTTTGAAACTATGCAATAATCTCCGTTTATTTCATCTTTTTTTGTTATCCCACTGGTTACCATTAGGTGGTGCTAAATAGCCATACCAGAAACAAAATAGCAAAGAAATCTGGACTACGAAGATGATGGAATAGCTGAAAACATTTTTCCCATGAAGCTTGAATTTTCTATATTGAAATTTTTTGGTTATTAATATATACTTAATTTTTTAGTATCTTATCAAGTGTACACCTGCACCTTATATGTTTATTTATTTTTTGAAAATATTAGTGCCGCTTAATCATTTTTTAGGGTTATAGTATAGTTTAAAATCTGTTAATACAATAGCTATTGACTCCTTTCCTAGAAAGACGTGTATGATTTCAGCTGAAGCCCATCACGAGCCCAGGTCCTGATGCCTGTCTAGTTTTCGAGTAACAAATAACTGAAAATTCATCCCTCATCCTCCAGTAGACCTGGACTATAGTTTATGTTTCATCTGAAACATTGGTGGTGCCTCTTTGATTATATACATTTTCTCAGGACATTGTGTGTCCTAGAGTTGTGACTGCAAGATAAAACCCTCATAGGTGTGCCAACACCATCCACATCATCAGCAGTGGCTATCTGAGGGCCAGGCACAGAGCGAGAAGATGTGGGCCTGCCCTTACAGGCTCCAGTCTAGTTCTTCCCACCACTCCACTGTTGCCGTTTTTTAAATACTCAAGTATAAGCAAAATCGGAACTTTTATAGTGCGTTCCTCCTTCTGGATGTTCTCCACACTCTTGTGAAGAATTGTATTCATTCCTTTCCCTTTACGCTTTCAGTCTAATATTTTAATCTGATATTTTCTCACCTGCCCTTCAAATACTTAATTTTTTAGTCTAAAAATACTTTTAAGCATTGTATTGACTAGATTCAACTAGATTCACTATTCTCTGACTCACTTAATTAAGAGGTCTTTTGGGAGACAGACGAAGACTTTATGGTTCCTAATGTTACTTTCAAAGGTTAGTTATATAACCTAGACATAAAAGTCTTAAAGTGTAGAAACAGCGTACAACCATAAGGATAATCTTTTGGTCTGGATATTAAATGTCTATCAAAAATAGAATTAATAAATTACTTATGCTGTACATTTGGGACATAAACAATTCATTTCATTTAATGTATTTAATATCTTACTAGATTATAATTCAGATATTAATATGGACTTGCCATCTTTATAGATTATCTGTTAAATTAGTTGTGAAATATTGCTTTAAATACCTTTAAATAACTTTTACTCCCCCCCCACCCCGCCCCCACGTAGCGTAAAAGAGCAGTGGATCTGAATGTTAAAATCTTGGATTTGAGCAGTATATTTCTTATGGGAGCCAACTTTCCCACCAAGATTGAGAAGCATCTCTTACCAGAACACATTCACCACAACTTTGTACTCGCTGGAGATCATGTAATAATTGATGGTCTACACGCAGACGCACCTGATGACTTGGTATGTATCCTCCATTCTCTTTAGAGTTCAAGTCCCAGCTGTGTGCTGCTACTGTTTTAACCTAAAACTCAGTGATATAATAATATAATCATACCATTAAAAATACTTTGGTGTTACTGGTGTTACTAAGTCCTAAAAATTTAACTTTGGGATTAATTCCATAAATGCTTTGAATGATGAAGATTGTTTAATTATTCATGTTTTACAAAGAATCCATTTTTAAAGTATGGTAAGTAACAGCAGTGATTGACATTCTAGACTGCTCAGATTTTTAATGTCTGTAGTCTTCACTTCACCTGGTTAAAGGTGCATACTGGATACAGTTTCGTCTGGCCATGCCCCATAACAGAGATCTCCAGTCAAGTATGTTGTTGTATCTCCTACTAGTTTGTGAATCTAAAAACTTTATTCATCTTGTACAAACTACTATTTTTTATAGCAATGATCACCTGAAGAATAAAGTAGGTACAGTTAGTCTATATTATTATTGCATAAGATTTCAAGTCATGGTATTTATTTTTTAAATATAGGTGCGAGAAGCTGCTTATAAAGTTTTTCTTTATCCCAATGCTGGTCAATTGAGATGTTTAGAAGAATTGCTCAGCAGCAGAGATCTTCTGGCAAAGTTAGTGGGGTATTCTACCTATTCCCACAGAGCTCTCCAAGGGACAATAGCTAAAAATCCAGGTAAGCCAAAATAGGATTTTTATGTATCTGAACTTATGACTTAAAAATTTTTTTTGATCAGGGTCAGCAAACTTTTGAGATGGAAGAGCTTCCAGGGGTCAGCAAACTGCGGCTCGTGACTGTGGCTCTGAAGTAAAATTGAAAATGAAAATAAAACTATCAGTTTCATTTATAAAATTTTTAAAGGATATTATTCACACAATGGTGGTTATGTAAAAATATATTTATGGCTCTCGAATAATTTTTAAATTGTTGTGAGGTGCAGTATTGGCTCCTCCAGGGGTCGGCAAACTTTTGAGACGGAACATACCCAAAGAACTGCATGTGGCTCGTGAGCCGCAGTTTGCCGACCCCTGGTCTAGATGATCTATCCATTTATTCAGGTGGGATGTTAAAGTCCCCTACTATTGTAATACTGTTGATCTCTGCCTTTATGCCTGTTAATATTTGCTTTATCTATTTAGGTGCTTCTATGTTGGGTGCCTAGATGTTACAACTGTTATTGATTTTGTTGGATTGATCCTTTATCATTATGTAATGCCCTCCTTTGTCTCTTGTTAAAGCTTTTGTTTTAAAGTCTACTTTGTGTGATGATTTGTTTGGGTTCCTTTTTCTTTAGTTTTTAATGTATCTATTATAGGTTATTTTTGGTTTGTGGTTACTATAAGATTCATATATAACAAGCTATGTTTATAGCAGTCTATTTTAAACTGATAGTCCCTTAAGTTTGAATCCATTATAAAACCATTACATTTTTACCCCTACCACGTTTATGTTTTCGACATCATATTTTATACCTTGTGTGTGTGTGTGTTTACCCCTTAATTCACTAGTGTTGAATACATGTGTTACTACTTTTGTCTTTTAACGTTCATACAAGCTTTATAATTGGTTGACCCACTACATTTATTTACTAAATGTTTGTCTTTATCAGTGATATATTTTCTTTCCTATATTTTCTTTTTTGTTTTTGTTTTTTCTTTTCCACTTAAAGAAGTCCCTTTAACATTTTTTATAAAGCTGGTTTAGTGATGATGAACTTGAGCTTTTGCTTATCTGGGAAACGCCTTTATTCTGAATGATAATCTTGCTGCGTAGAATATTATTGATTGTAGATTTCTCCTTTCATCACTTTGAATATATCATTTCATTCTCTTTTGGCTTGCAAAATTTCTGCTGAAAAATCAGTCAGTAGTCTTAAGGGGGTTCACTTGTAGGTAACTAGCTGCTTTTTCTTGTCAATTTTAAGATTCTCTTTTTATTTTTAACTTTTTGCATTTTAATTATGATGTGTCATGGTGTGGGCCACTTTGGGATCATCTTGTTAGGGATTCTTTGTGCTTCCTGGACTTGGATGTCTGTTTTCTTCATCAGGTTGGGGAAGCTTTGCACAACAAGTGAAAGAGACCACTTTTTTTCTGTCTTCTCCCTCTGGAACTCCGCTATGATGCAAATGTTGGTATGCTTGATGTTGTTCCAGAGGCCCCTTAAACTATCCTTATTTTTTTTAAATCTTTTTTTTCTTTTTACTCTCTGCTAGTGTGATTTCCAATGCCTTCTCTACCAGCTTGCTGACTCATTTTTCTGCATCAACTAATCTGCTGCTGATTCCCTGTAGTGTATTTTTCATTTCAGTTGTTGTGTTCTTCATTTTTTTT